CCTGCTTGTGAACATTCATAGGGAGAAGACTGCTCACATGGAATGATCTCACCAGCTGCATTCACATTTTGCAGAAGTGTTTCTTGGAGCAATGAAGTTGTTGATAAAAATAGGTTAACAGCTGCTGATCATAAGAATAGTGAAGAGGATCACTGTACTGTCAATCCGTACTTCCACCATACATAAAAAACACTTCAAAAGCTTCTTTGAAGAAATGGAGTTAATTTCACTGTAAGAACAGAACAGTAATCTTCAATCCCAAATCTAAATGTTACTGACAAAAAAATATCCATCAAGCAGAGAAAGCTTTGAAAATATCAACCATTAAACAAGCAAAAGCATTAACAGCAAAAGCTGTATAGATAAAAATACTCTGGTGTGTACAGATGCAAATTTGCCTCCTTCTCTAGTGGGAATTTTACTTATATTGTTCATTTCCAAGGGGCAATGCTTTTTTGGAAATGCTGTCACTAACTTTCAAAAATACAAGGCAGTAAGACAAGCTTGTTGGGTGTTATATCCACCTCCTGTGATAACTAGCTACTGTTATGATAGATGCATTTTAAATATTTTATTAGGGAGAGGCTTCCTATTTTGGTTACCATATTGAATTGATGTCTATGCATTGCACATGTAACATAATCTAAACTCAGAGGTGGCACAGAAACAGCAACTGTGTATTGTCAAGAGTGGACATAAAGGGCAGGATAAAGCATAGAAAATATAATGCAGCTGGGCAGAAATCTGAAAAGTCACGTTAGTCTTCAGGTCAGGTATCTCTCAATCACTCATGCAGCGAATAATCCAGTTGGAACTGAAGCTAGCAGACACAACTGAGTGCACCTGTATGAAAGGGGTATCCTGAATACTGAGCTTCTACCTAATTCTTATAAAATCTATAAAATTAATTCCTATAGAATTAATAGAAAGATTGGGTACGTGATGGCCATCATAAAATGTATCTTAATTTCAAGAAGGGAAAATTGTTTATTAAATGACCACACTAATAAATTAACCTGTGCTTAGAACAGCTACATGAAGGAAAATAGGCTGCTGTTTAATAGAGGGTATGAATTTTCACAGACAGAGATATGCATTCCTGAATCTAAGCAATTTATAGCATGGACCATAATGATCCTAATATCACAGAAAAGGTTAAAAAAAAAGTTCTGAATTAAGTGAGACACTTTTCTTTCAAGCTTTTTAGCTTCCAGTAGACCCAGTTTACAAAATTGGACAAATATATCAATTAAAACATGGAATAACACATTTTATGTTTTTCAGGAATGTGAAGCATGCTTTAGCTTGGTCTTACATGGTTTCTTCGGGGGGCCCCCTGGTGGTCTGGTGGTCTAGTGGTTAGGATGCAGCACTCTCACCACTGTGGCCTGGGTTTGATTCCCAGTCAGGGAAACTGCCCCGGGCAGATGGAGCTCGTCAGCCCTGTAAGGCCATCCATCTACGAGAAGGTCACTCTAAACAAACCTACGTCCTGAGGACCTCACTGCCACTGTCCAAGCTCGCTCAGCCCCAGCAGATGAACCTTAGGATTAAAGGGTGGACTCAGTTCAGCGCACACTGTGTCTCACCTAAAAAATCCATTGCGCAGGCTCGAAGGGTAATGACCTTTCCCAAATCTTCACTCGCAAAGACTGGCCATACATACATGGTTTCTTCAGTAATTACATTTTTCACCTGACAATTGTATGTATTTCTGCCTCTTAGCAGTATTTTTAAGAAACTGCATCTTCCCAAAGGGAGGATACTTGGTGGAATGTGTGCTCACGGTGTTCTTCTGTAGCAATGAGTCGGCATCCTTCAGCATTGACTGATGTCAGGGAAATCTCTTAATGTTGTTAATAACTGTATTACAGTACTTGAGTCACAACATTATTAAGTCTCTTGGAAAAGGGGCTACTGGGTTATCTGTGGGGAAGAGGTAGTCTCTCACATGGCTTTGACTTTAGAGGAATGAGAGAAAGAGTAGATGTAGGACTTTTTCCCTGGTTTCTTCACCATGTGGGAGCTAGGGAAAAGAATGGGTTTTTTGCATTTCCTCTGAGGTATGGGATGCCCTGTATTTGCAAAAGTTCTGCCTGGAACCTCTGACTTCCCAAAACCCTACTAATCAGCTCTGCACCAGCATGTTGCTGAGGAGAGGCAATAGCATTGTGGTAGCTGGTGGTTGGGGTGAGGGAAGCACAGTGCATGTCCAGCTGTAGAGGGGAGAGGAGAGGATGGGGAGAGAAATATGGCACAGAGCAGGACTGTTTGTGGGGTAGGTTGGTTTTTTTTGTGGGTAACAAAAAAAAAATCAAACAGGTTCCAACAGGATAAACCGAACTTTTTATTTTAATCTGAGAGTCTTTTTTGGTTTTTTTTGGTTTACTTTCTGAGACACCAATGTGGACTTTTGCTAGCTTGTAACTTTGCCTTATGTGGCATGTCATAGCTAATGTCCCTCCTCATTATACATTATTTACTCTTTTTCTTCCTAATCTAATCCTTTAAGAGCTTTGAGAACCCATTCTTGCATATTTTTGCATCATTTTTGCAGCTGCTGCCTTCATGCTTTTAAACAAATCCCTGCACAGTATTCTCGTCATCTTGCATTAGCATTAGGCCATTACCATGATGGCTTTTCGCAGTTAAAGTTGTTGGTTCATGTTTGGCTGAAAAATGGGTTTGCTAAATGAGTATTGATATATTTACATCTCGTCTTGGGTGGGATGGTACTTTAGCATTCAGAAGGTTGGGGGCTTTTTAATATGTCTAGATTTGTTTGGCTCTTTTTTTTTCTTTTACTCCCAAGTCAAAACATGGACTTCTTAGATTTTTACATTTTAGGTAGTCTGTGTTAAGTGGTAGTCTTTTGTTATGTATTATAGCTTTTAGCGTAGTATACAATCCACTGAACACAAAATAACTAAGCCCAGATTACTTTATTGTTGGGAGAAAGGAAGTGTTGTTTGACGCTTTACAGCTGACATTATAGTTTTAACAGTTACATGTCATTAATAGCTGATAACATTAATCTTCATTTGCACGCATCAAGACAATAGTACAAGCAAGGCTATCATTAAACTGCAGCATTATCAGATCATTGTGTGACTAAGAACTTAAATTTAAAATGGCTTCAGAGAGCATGTTGAACAGAAGTATGCAGCTGATCTCCAGCTCTGCTTAGAAGAAAATACACTTGCATGAACTGAAAGAAACAATTAGACATACTAAGAGTTGCCTTTATTGCTGTTACTTACTTGGCTGTTTTATCAGCAGTTGGTGAAGGAACAGGATAGTGCTTACTCTTTCCAGCTCAGTGTTGTTCAAGTATTAGCACACAATAAATAATACCTCCAATACATAAGCTTTAAATTATTCTTTACTCTAACAAAAAGCACACTGAAATTTGAGTATCTCCCACTTCCCAAAATACAGACATAAAAGAGCAAACTCTCCTCTTAAATCACATAAAAAAATCTTTACTATTCTAGTGTATCACCCAAAATTGAATAATACATTTAAAATTATATGATATCATTGGTCAGCATTTTCCAGTCTATGCTCATATTACAGAGTATATTACTGTGATAAATATGTAAATTTCTAGGTCTACTATGTAATACAAATATTTATACAGCAAAGATGACAAGTCTTGCACAATTTATTAAGCTTAGACACAGGGTCATTTGGTGACAGTTTTTCAATAAATAATTTGGTTTTCTTGTGTTTAGTATTTGTCACATAGTTCATGAACTAAACAGAGGTGAAGGAACCCTTTTTTTAGAAACACAGTATTTTAAAAAGCCAGAACTACTTTTAGTACATGTTCCAAAGAATAACTCAGGCACATTTGGCCCAGTTTCAAGGAGTGATATATTTTCCTGTCATACCTGCAATCCAGTCAAGAGAGACTACAGAAGTAGAGTAACATATAGAAACCTATACATTCTAAATGCTCTGTGTTTATTTGTAATGCTTTCAAGTGCATAGATTAGCAAACACAAATTTACTAGTGTGTCTAGCTAAATTCTTTTCTGTAACTACTCTGTGGTGTTCATGAAATGAGACACAATATAATAATCAGATTATGTGTATCTAAATGTTTTCAGCATCTCTTACATTTTGTTAAAATGATTCTGCATTCTTCCTGAATGCTTGAATTACACTTATTATTCCAGATGCTTTCATACAGCATCTGTTGAGTCAGGTGTATTAAACTGTATTTTATTTATTTGTAAACTAGAGAACATTCTTTTTTAAATCAGTGTGCTAAGCACAAAGCCTAATTGTACTATACAAGATTTGTGTTGGAAAATCAAAACCTTTGGAGTTATTCAAATTGCCAAGAACAAATTGAAAAACATTTTCTCCTTTTGATTAGAATCCATAGTATATGTTCATTTATATAAATCATCCATGCAAGGAATTTAATTGTCATTTAATTCTGGTTTAAATGTTCTCAGTGCAGATTGTAAAAGTTCAGTTTATTTGTGCCAGTTGGACTGAGTTTAAACCATACCATACTTCCTAACACTATAGATATCCGCCAAATTGGAAAAAAAGTAACACATCTTTCTAAGAATTTTGAAATACTAATATATAATATTTTGAAATACATAATACTGTATTGGCATCTAATATTGTACTGTTATAACAAAGCTGCCATTTGACTGTTTCTCTGACAACCACATAATTTCTTAGGAACAACACATTTTTTAGTATTTTTTAACGAGTATTCTATGCTCACAGTCCTTTTTTTTTCACAGTGTGGTATTCTTCTGCTGACAGCAAAGGAGCTTGTGATACCTATCTCAGGTGTGGGTAACTGCACCAGTGGCACATTTTGTCACACCTTGTTTTCATTTCTTCTTACAGTGCTCCTGGAAAAGCCCATTATAGTACTTTTTCACAAAGTTCCAAAAGCTACTTACATAGGAGAGTAGAGGAGAAGGTTCTTGATAGCGAAGCTCCAGACTCTTATTTTCAGTTTCTGTCTAGTCACAAAGTTCCCTGTAAATGAACAATTCATCCCATCCTAAAGGAGACGTCTAAAATAAGTCTTGAGTTCTGCCCTAGAAATACCTGTCTCCTGCATTGTCTGTAAAGAATGCTTTAGATAGCAAGGTCAGAGATGGGCATGAACATTTCAGTAAGATTAATTCTGTTCAGACTCTATATGATGTTGGGACGGTGACTGTCTCATCCTGATTACTAATAGCTCCTTAGGTCATGTGTAAGCCAGTCTGTGCCTTTTTGTATTTAGTAATTGTGCATTGACTGAAAATTAACATAAGGACTGTTAACAAAAGCAAATACTGAAGTGGAAATGGAAATATGGAAATTGTTCACGCTACAGGCTATCAAACAATACCGTTCTCATTCATACTGATAATCCTGAAGGAGTGTTGAGATATGAAACAAACTCCTAGATGAGGTTAAATTGATGTAAAAGTACACAGACAGAAGAAATAAGTATATAGATACGTACTCCATGGGCAGTATAGGGAAAGGAAATAAAACAAGGCACACTTGGACACTACAGGTTAATACCTGTGGGAGAAAATGCTAAGAAATTCAGCCACAGAAGAGAAACCTAGGAAGCAATAGTACAGAAAGAGATGTACAGATAACAAATAGAAAGCAACATAGGACTTCTCAGAATAGATGGCCAAGCAAAACAGGTTAACAGAACCAAGATTAAGTCAGTAAGCAGTCAGGCACATACCTCTTCTTTATCTTTGAGACTGCATCCAACACATAAAAGTTCGAACATAATGTAAAAAAAAATTTGGGGTTATTTAAGTGCCAAAAAGCTATTGGCAATTTAAAAAATTCTTAAGATCACTGAAGGTGATCTTGAGGAGAGAAGGGAAGATGGGAAAAATGAGTTGTGAGGTAGATGAAAATATAGACAGCTTGGCACACTTATACCTGCTGGATACAGGTGTCAGTAAATCACCGTGATGTTGTTCAAACCAAGCAGAGAGAAACTGAGTTGAAGAGTGGTATTAAAAAACATGGGATGGAATGTGAGACCTGTAGTCTGGGGAGCTCTGTTGCCAGCCCTGTCTTAAGAATTAAGAAAAACAAGCTAGACATCACATTAGGAAGAAAATAGAATAAAAACTGAATATATCCTAGTACATGGATGGACTAATGTAAATGTCCTAATGTCTAAACTGGTGCTATTCTTTTAAAGATGCTCAATTAATGTTTTTTTTTTGAACTGAGTTTGCAGTAATAGCTCTACAATACTAAGACTGTCCTATGTGGAGGGGGATTCACATCCTTCAAGGCATGAGACAGAAATTAACCCATTTCTTTCCTGTTTTTAGAGAGGACTGTATTCATACAAAGAAGATGGCTGGTTTGGATGGTTGGCTGTACCACACTTGGTCTCCTTGGCTGGAGGTCATTGGTGTTAGAGGGGCTAAAGGAAAAGGTGTCTGGCACTGACCACCATTTTTCCCCAGAGTAGGGTTTGAGCATTTGATGTGTGCATGAAGTCTGGAAGTATCAGGAGTGTTCCTGTTTCCACCAGGACAGATAAGCCTCCAGCACAGGGACACTGCTGAATGTGGTAATCTCTACATGTTGTTGTAGCTCATCTTTCAGTTTGCTGACCCTAGACTTCAACACAAGAATGTGCTATAAGTTAGCTGTTACCACTCAGAAACTAGCTTGTCAAGTCACTGTCTTTCCTCCTGCCAAATATCACTGTCCAGCGTGAGTGAAAATGTGAGTGGACTGTCAGAAGTTACAGTTATTTATGAGCAATGTAATCTGAAATCTCAAGACATGCACTAGATGGAAGAAGGCAGGAAAGGTAAGGAGCTAAACTAGATAGCTCAATGTGCCTTTTAGATTGAGTCTGGAGGGCACTGAACCAAAGATCATTAAAAACTAAAACTCTACCACTTGTAAGTCCTCCTTTAATTAATTTACAGGAAAGCCAATGATACTGTTTAAAATTTTGTCATCATGGAACCATACCTGGCAGTTATGTGTCTATCTTTACTGTTATTAAGGAGATTATGAAAGAGTCACAATTTTTGTTCTTGACAGTTTTCCAATCTCACAAATGGCAACTTCCTTTATTACTTTTAAAGTAAGCTTAGTGATGTGGCAGTGAAATAAAACACACTTTGGTTAAGGCTTGTACCTTCCATCAGAGCCAATTTTCCTAAGACTGTGGTGGTATAGCTTTTGAAATTGGCTCCAGGCTTGGCTCTGAGTGCAGGAGAGAAGTCACTTTGTCTCTTTCTGGATATGGTTCATTGTTGCACACATTTCCGCCATCCATCCTTTGATTCAGCTGGATGACAGTTACCTTGGAGTGGCAGGTGGGCTCTCCGTTAGTGGAGGAAGGAGATTGGCAGTGGAAAAGCTGACAAAAGCATTTGTAAAACTGAAACAACAAAAAAACAATTCAAGACATAGGTGCTTGGCAGGCTACAATTCATAGCATCTCTATAATACCTTCAGGGCAAGGAAACATGGTTTATTAAGCTTGTATCTTTTTCTCAAATAGGGGTTAAATATTTTTTCATCATGAATATGTGTTTCTTGCTGCTTAAGACTGAAGTTCACTTAAATTTGTTAAATTCTTTAAAATTGATACACTTAGCTCCTCTAAGACCATAGATTCTGTAAAGGGTAAAGCTGTAGAACAATATAAAAGATTTTCAGAACCTCTAGTTTATGATAAAAGAAGATTTAATCACAGAAGTAATTGGTTTATGGTTACTTCACACATCAGGCAGGGAAAAAATCAATTTTGATAATCTAATGATACACAGCAGGGAGAACATTGGGTTCTTTTCATTAGGAAGCCATTGAAATCTGTGTTCCCAAACTGCAGACTAAACTTCAGAAAATGACTCTGCTTAATTAATGAACCAGAATGAATTTTTTTAATTCATTTTACTTCTGAGATAAACACATCATGCAGTGGGTGAGCAATTGGCTCACAGATCAAGCACAGAGGGTAACTGTGAATGGGGTAATGTCAGACTGGTGACCAGTCACTAGTGGGGTAACACAGGGCTCTATCTTGGGCCCGTGCTCTTCAACATCTTCATAAATGACTTGGATGCAGGAGTGGAAGGGATACTAAGCAAGTTTGCAGATGACACAAAACTCAGAGGAGCTGTTGACTCCTTCAAAGGGAGGGAGACCCTGCAGAGAGACCTCGAGAAATTAGAGGACTGGGCAATCACCAACCAGATGAAGTTCAACAAAGGAAAGTGCCAGGTTCTGCACCTGGGATGGGGCAACCCTGTATGTACATACAGACTGGGGGATGAGATGCTGGAAAGCAGTGCCACAGAAAGAGACCTGGGGGTCCTGGTTGATGGCAAGTTGAATATGAGTCAGCAGTGCCCTGGCAGCCAGGAGAGCCAACCCTGTCCTGGGGAGCATCAGGCAAAGCATTGCCAGCTGTTAGAGGGAGGGGATTGCCCTGCTCTGCTCTTCACCGGTGCAGCCTCACCTTGAATATTGTGGCAGTTTTGGGCACCACAATATAAGATATTAAGCTATTAGAGAGTGTCCAGAGGAGGGCACTGAAGATGTGAAGGGCCTTGAGGGGAAGTCATATGAGGAGTGGCTGAGGCCACTTGGTCTGTTCAGCCTGGAGGAGACTAAGGGGAGACCTCATTGCAGTCTACAACTTCCTCGTGAGGGGAAGAGGAGGGGCAGGTACTGATCTCTTCTCTGTGGTGAACAGTGGCAGGATCCAAGGGAATGGCTTGAAGTTGTGTCAGGGGAGCTTTAGGTTGGATATTGGAAAAAGGTTCTTCTCCCAGAGGGTGGCTGGGCACTGAAACAGGCTCCCCAGGGAAGTGGTCCCAGCACCAAGCCTGAGAGAGTTCAAGAAGTGTTTGGATGATACTCTCAGGCACATGATGTTACTCTTGGGCACGGTCCTGTGCAGGGCTAAGAGTTGGACTTGATGATCCTTGTGGGTCCCTTCCAACTCAGCATATTCTGTGATCTACCCAAAACACCTCTGATGTTACATCAGTTACATCAGTTCTTATCTGTAAGTGCCAAGTGAGCAGAATTATACAGCTACCTCCTCTGAGAGCTGACACTCATATTCAGCAGATAGGGATACCAGTAAAGCAACAAGTGTTTCAATACATTTTCTACACAAATTTATTTTTTAAGTGAAATCTTTAAAAAAATAAATGATGTCCAAGACTTACTTTATGTTATTTTCCTTTCATGTGGCTATGTGAAACAGAAAAGGCTTCCAGAAGCTATGATTGATGTGAAAGTATTGCAGTTTAGGCAGTGCTGTTGGTCAGTATCTGGTATTAGTCCCTTTGAAAATGTGCAGCTGTAATAGTAAGATTTCTCTTGTTTCAAAGCTATAAGACCACAGTTGACAGTGCTGATGATACTTGGCCGTTGACATGTGGCAGGAAATAAATATGTGCTGTCATTTTGTGGATTTCTCCTTGCTGAGCAGGAGGTCGTCAGGGGTTTTTCGTTGTGACAACACTGCTCTAAGTAGAAATTCGCTGCCTTTGCCATCTCTCCATGATACTTTTCACAGAATTGTCAGAAGCTGTGGGCTTCTGTGCCACCACTGTATGGGTGATGTTTCTTTATATGCCCTTCTGCATGTATTTAGGCTTCCTTCTTGGCCATGTGTTCCTGCTTAGAGAGAAGTAAGTGGATGGAAAAGTGAAATTGATTCAAGTTCAGACTAAGAAAGACCAACATTGTAATAAGGTGGAGATGTTTCAAGGATTCTTGTGTGGGATGTTTTGTGAACAGTACATAAGGTAAATGGGGGGAGGTGGGAAAGAGCAGTCTTCTCACTCAGGAGGCTGATGGTAAAATGCAAATCCATATAGGCTTTTACTCTTTCTTTAGGGATCGAAATCTTTATGTATCAGGAACAAGTGAAAGCCGCTCTAATAAAAGGAACTATTGCTTCTCTTAATGATTTTACAGAGTTAGTACTTAAGGTGTGCAACAACAAAGGAAAGTGGGAAAGAAAAAGGAGATCGGATGACTGCAGGAAAAATTCCGCAAGGAAAATGAAACCTGGGGTTCACTTTTGTTTTCACTTCTTGCTCCAGGTATCCTCATCATGATGTCCATGTGTAATGAAGTACACGTGTACGAATACATCCCTTCAGTCCGGCAGACCGACCTGTGTCACTACCACGAACTCTACTACGATGCAGCTTGTACCTTAGGGGCCTACCATCCACTGCTCTATGAGAAGCTCTTGGTGCAAAGGATGAACAAAGGTTTGCAGGATGATCTGTATCGGAAGGGGAAAGTCATTTTGCCAGGGTTCAAAGCTGTCAAGTGCCCCAAAAGAAATTTCTCACACTTATAGAATAAGTCCTTCAGAAACAATGTGCAATAAGGTACTACTGTCGTACTATAAACAAGAAGAGAATACTTGAAAAAACGTATCTTAGACCAATCTAGTCTTGAGTCTATAAATTGTAATTAAGTAGCAGGCATGAGAAATACTTCTTTTCTGAGCCTGAGTATTTATTACTGCTTTGCAAATAGTTACAGGAAAAAAAGCAAAGGCTTAGCTCATGAAGGTGCAAAGGATATACTTAGGCAGAAATATGATGTATCGTTGTTGGTGTGAGTGTCAGAATTTGTCAGTGGTCTCTTATGCCACATATGCTAGACTGTAATTTTTTTTAATGAACTTATTTAACTGTCAAACCTGACATTGTGAAACAGCCTCTATTGTTCATGTATGTACAGAACGGCCAGTTGAACAATGCAGTGTTTCCCATGGCTTTGTAAGATTTTCAGGCTCTCCCAGAATGAAGTAATTGCTACTCCAAGCTGTGCAGTCATTAACTGGAGTAGACTTTAATGCCTGCTCATATGCAGGCTCAGTTACAGGCCTCCAGCTGAACAGGGGCCTTACGGTCGCTGTGAAGTCAGTGCAGTCAGAGGTGGCTGTACACACAGCCAAACCCATTAAACTACTGGATGTACTTCTCATGCCAGACTCCCATGCTCACACTGTCTGCAGAGGAAAGAGAGAAATGTCTCGTTTCTTTAGATAAAAACAAACGTATTTGTAACCCATTTAGGAAGAGAAACTAAAGGATTATCAGGAAGGTGTGAGATGGGCATGCTGCCTTCCCCCAGTCTGCACAATACAGAATATCCAGAGAAAGCCAAGGGAGGCTGTGCAGCCCTCACACATCACACTGAAAGCAAGCATAGAGGGGGGTCACCTTTCTGCAACAAAGATAGCATACAGGAATACAGACATTATTTGTTAAGTATTTCACTGGTATCTGAATCAAAGTCACTTAATCACAATTTATTGCTGTTAAGAAAGTAGAGGGAGCATTCTGACACAAAGAAGACAATATCAGTATTTTTTACTTAATGTTTGAAAGACTATACCCCAGAGAAGCTCTAATGCCTCAAAAAAGCCTGACTACAGATTGCATATGGAGATAGTTTGATATTTTTGCTCAAAACACACAATGAGAATATTCTCTAAGGCATTTCTAAAAATATGCCCGATTGCTAATATATTTAAAACATTATTTTCCTTATTTTCCGAGACTTCCGTTTCAGATTTTCTAAGTGGCAGCATGTAAATGTTGGGTTTGGGTTTTTTTCAGTTTTTTGTTTTGTTTTTTTCCCACACATCTGTACTCTTTCTTTTAGAGTAAGTTTAGCAGGAACGTGTGTACACAAAAGCACAGCTATATCCTACTCATATCCATTCAGTAAAAAAGCAGACAGCTCAAAGAAACATTGAAAAGAATAGCTGAGTGCTTGTGGTGGAAAGTATTTTTTGTGTTTTGACTTAAACAAAAAGACTTTTGCCAGAAAGGCAAAAGAATGCAAACAACATTAATGACTATTTCATCTTCAATTGTAATGTAAGTATAATCACAAAATCCTTTTTCTCTCAGTCTGCTCTTTGGGAAGCATTATTTTCCTTCTTCTAAAACAAAGAATGTGTGTTTTACATAGGACTTAGCCTTCTTTTAGGGCTTTATGATGATCTTAAGATTCTTGCTGACAAAAATTATGTCCAGATGATCTAATAACTGTACTTCTGTGCTATATGGATTATGTCCATAAGTCATTTTGGTACATGTCAAAATGAATAGATTTTACTTATATTAGCCTTAGACTCTGGATATATTACATACCAATTTCTTTTTAATGTTATATATGGTGGCAACTTTTATTCTTAAAGTTAATAACATTGTTACTTAATGTGTGGGGAATAGATAACCTACATAGAACTAATCTATTTTTCCATATGTTTGGTACCCTGTTTGCAAAACATTCAGAGTCTGAACAGTGCAATCAAACAGGTCTCTCTCTCTGCTGTACACTGTTAGCTATGACATGTTTGTAAAAGAAGGGAGTTGATTAGCTTTC